TGCTATGGAAACCTAATGAGAAGATAATTGAATGAAACGTCTTTGCTTTCCATCCCTTTTCTCACACTGGTGCCAGCAAGGTCAGAACCTTGCAGGCCTCCTTTCTCTTCAGGTCCATGCAAATTTGATAAAAATACCAAAGGCCTATTTTCTTCCCTGTGCCAGCTCCAGTTAGATAAATTATCTTGTATTCAGTCAGGAGCAGTTACAAGTGTGTCAGTTTTTCATACTAATTATGTAACTGGGCCATTTCTAATGCACACGGATAACCAAATGGCTTCGCAGCAGAGCCAGCATGGGCTTTTGCACTGGTTTATTCACCACTGTGAATGTGCATAGTGTTTGTATACTATGCACATTCCCATCTAAACCATTTTCCTAAGTGAGCTATAAATAGTCATTGGGAAGGAATCAGAGGGGCACTATCAGTTTATTGAAGTTCATAACAGTAGTGGTTTCATTATCATATGGTGCTATGCATCTGTGGATTTTACAGTCCATGAATGAGACTCAGCTATTTGTTAAAAAACATATACATTTAAAATACTTAGTGTTGAAACAAACCCCCATCATTCTCAGTTCCCGTGTTTGTTCTGTTTCAAGAATTACAAGCTTTTAAAAATCAACAGGCACATTCATGAAAACAGCACATGGTGTCATTTGTTTCCTTTCCCAGTTCTGTGGAGTACCAGCACATTCTTGGGGTACGTGTGGCTGTGTCTCTTGTAAAATCAACTGCTCTCTATGCACAATAAGCCCTGGTGTTATTCTGTCTGATACTAGAATTAGTCCAGAGTTAACAGGGAAAGCTGTAGCCTAGCAGCTCACTGCAGCCTACTTAAAACCTGTCGTAATAATCAGACAGGCTCAGTTGGCTTGTGATGCAAATGTGTGCATTGGTTCTTCCTTTTATTCCAAATTTTGGAGACCGCCTTCAGGTTCCAAGGGGATTGCTTAGGTATAACAACGTCATCACCACTGAAGGATTTTTAAGGAAAGATAGATTCGAAGATCCTTTTGGATGCTAGACTTTGACATTGTTCATACAAAGCCCACAGGCTTTAAAAGAACAATCAGAAGTATCTTCCAGAGACAATCCTCAGGCCAATATCTTTGTTGTCTAGGATGTCTGGTCAGGTCTCTTATCTTTCAAGCAACCTCTTATTAAAGCAGTTAATTAAGTTTTTAAAGTTGGTCCTGCCTTTCTCTAGCTGCTGTTGCAAGTTTGTCCAAATAGTTAGGAAATGTTAGCTCCTCTTTTCTAATTTTTTCCAGCTTAAGTCTGTTTGTTCCTGTGCTTAATTTATTAACAGGCAATAAGTTAATCTTCTTGTAGCTTTTCAATTTGACAGGCAAAATTTTCTATCTCTCTCTTGTAAGAAAAGCAGCCAGTTCCCTGGCCATTCTAACAACTTTTCTCTTTACCACTTCTGGTTTGAATTCATCTTTCTTGAGCATAAATAATGGTGGGTTTACAGCCATTCTCATATATATTCATTCTTTATACTGCCATTGGAATTTCCCATCCTTACCCCTTTTAGGATTAAAGTGTAGGTTTTTTTCTCAGTCATCCTTTTCCCACTGGTGTACCCAGGTATTCTGTAATTTGCAGACCTCCAGCATTTGAAAGACTGGCTTTTGGACTTTTGTGTCCATTCTGGATTGCATACTTGCACATTTCAGTGTTGAATGTAAACTCCTTTTTGTTAAGCCAGTCTTTCTAATCAAGAAGTTCCTGGTCCAGGTTCTTCACTCCAGCTGTTGCTACTAAATTTTGTGTCACTGACCTCTGAGCGGCCTGATGTAATTTACTAAAATCTACTCAAACTCATCAACTCTCTAGGGCAGTAATATTTGCTTACTCCCAAAAGTAGCTCCATTTTTAGATCGTATATTGTGCCTTCTGTTTTGTGGTGGTTTGGGAGGGGTTTTTGTTGTTTGAGGGTTTTTTTCACATTTATTTGTTTCAGCATTTTGGCTCCAAGAGGCACAAAGTATCAGCCTAGAGATGGTTTTGAATTTGTGAAATAAATGGATTAAAGTTTTGACCCCTTCTGCTGGCCACATCCAAAGATTATGTGTTGATAAGAAAATACTCTTTCCATCTGACCATAAATCTTTTTTTCTTCCTTGTTGTGTGGACGTATACCCATACATTTCTTCTGTTGTATGCTGTGACAGAGTACATTTCATGTGAAAGCTTACTAATGAAGTTGTACATCAGACCACAACAAAAATGAAGGCCTCCATGGTGGAGTAATGGCATTTGGCTCCCTTTCAGACACACAGTGCTGAAACTTCTGCCAAGTGTCACTGCATCATTAACTTTCAGTACAAGTTATCAGTCTATGAATGGAAGAACACAAATCTCTTTCAGTGCACGTTCACAGAAGCACTGCAGATTTAACAGAGTAAGGGAGTGTAATTTACCAATCAAACATATAGCAACTTCTAGGTACTCTGGAATCCAGGTACTCTGGATGTCTGGAATTTTTCACCAGACATCTAGGAAGTAAAGTGCTTGATTGATTTCACTGAGGATTTTTAAGCACCAGAGCTGTCTAGTGGAACTAAAAAGCTAGTGCCCTCTCAGACACTATGTGGTAAGTTTTGTTGGCATTTCCATCTCTTCAGACCAGCTGTTAGCATTTTCAAGGTCAGCCCAAGCACAGAAGATTTCCTCTTTAAAGAATGCATGAAATGATACTTGGAATTTGCATCCTCTGATGAAACTCAACATAGTTCTCAAATCAGTTATAAATGAGAAGGTAATTTGCTTGCTGTGGATCCTGTTCTTCTCCTCACCCACTCTAGTTCAGGCAAGTTAGAACTTTGGTTCTACTGCCCTTCCTGTTCTTTGGAGGCCAGTGTGTGATGAGTTGGTGGTCTCAGGCTAATTCCCAGTGAACAGATGTCCACATCACAAACAGTGCTGCTACACCTGCTACTTACTTGAATCATCGTTGGCAACTGTGCAAGAGAAGAAAAGGATTAAAATGGATTTGTAGGCCACAGAGCACAAGAGACTGCCTCTCCACTTTGAGGCTGATTTCACTAGTGAGGCAGAGTTCCGATCGTGAACAGATTTCATTTTCTAAGGATGATGACTTGGTATATTTCATGGATACTAAATTCATTTAAGATAAATAGGTGAGGTCTATGCTCACGTGCAAAACACGTAGTGGATTAATTCTGTCAGTTCCAACAGAACTTGGCTTTCATGAAAACAAGTCTCCATATACAATTCTGCATACTTTTTATCTGATTTACCTTTATTTAGAAAAATACTTGCTAACAACTTTACTTTGAAGTGTCTGGATGAATTCCTGGCCCTGTTCAGAGGCTTTTCTGGAAATTTGTACCCAGAAAGTATGGGGTCTATATTTTTCTCCTGCATTTTTCAGTCAGGCTTCTTTAAACCTAAGCATTTGGTGGCATATTTTTAACTTTTCCCCTTCAAGGGTAAACTTCATCAGCAAGGAAAACACTGCATGTCTCCCTCCTCCTGGTACATTACAAATTTGAAGTTTGTTTGCCTCAATCACTTTGCAGTTTGTGCTGGATTAGATTTCTCATCAGTCTGAGTTTGAAAGAGGTTGCATTTCAGAGCTTCACTGTGCCAGACCCTCCTTTTCTAGATGAATTACTAAATCAAATTGAAACTTCATACTGTCTCGTTTCCTCATTAATGATGTCTTTGCAAATTGATGAGTATGTGTTTTCATGCTTATAAGACGTTGGCCAGAAATTGCTTGCATCTTCTAAACCCTGAACTGGCTTAAACTAAAATTTCCCTTAGAGTGGTTTAGTGAATTGATCAGAAACTCTTCATTGCCCTCTGCTGGGAGTCTGAGAGAGCTAAAGGAGCCCGTGCAGACAGAGTGTGTGGACAGCAACGAGGGCACGGCATGTGTGTATTATTATATGGCCTCATTCAGAGAATGGTTTGGCTTGAGGTCTGCTTGGTACGCTGGGGTATGCGTGTTTCCATTCTGCACGGCCGCAGTATAGCCACCGCACAATAGGGCATTGTCACGTCGTGGGGCCGAGCTCCCGGCAAAAACACTGCAGTAATGCTTTGCACTTGGAGCCTCCAGCAAAGCCGTTGATGCTGGCAGGAGTCATTTCGCTGGCTTGGTGCTGCGTGGTTAAATAGGAAGGCTTCAAAGAATAACGCAAGGTTTGGTAATTTCTATTAGCTCCATTTATACAGACAGGGGAAAAAAGGCAATGAACCAGGGTGATGCTGTCTCATCAGAGGTCCCACAATGAACTGTTGGCACTGAGTTGGAATCCATTATGGAAAACTGGTTCAGTGAACATAAAGACCAAGAACAAAAGATTTATTTACTATTTTAGTGGGTTGTTTGTAAAGTCCATGTTCTGGTAAAATAAGTCTCTCCAACTAGCTTTTGAGGTAGGGAGCATACACTGATGGGAAAGCACAAAAAAGGGACTCGGGAGCAAGAAGCTGTAGTCTCCAGTCACCTTTGGTTGCACTTCATAGGGTCTGGACAAGCTTTTCTCTACTACTTTTTCCACACAATGGCTTCTGAAAGTGTAATGAGCACATATTTTATAAAGTTTTATCAGAGAAAAAACAAGTAGGCTGAAAACTGTTATACAGTTAAACAAATGCAGCATCCCAGTTCTACAGTTTCGAAGGCAGCAAAATTGCTGTTTTGCAAACAAAAGTGGGGAACTATGTGAATAATTGTTTTTCTTAGGGATCCCTAGACTCTTTTGCCTTAACCGTAGATTTTTGTCAGTATATATTTTTCTGTGCTGGTCACAAAAGTCATGTTTAAGAGGGGAACTCAGTTGCTGTGGTCAGACCAGTGTGTTCAGGTTTTGTTTCCAACTTGCTGCATTGGGAAGAAAAGGGAAGAGAAAGCAGCTCATGATATATTGTTTGGAAACTATAATTTACTGTAACCAGACAGCTCCCATGAAATGTGAGAAGCCTGCATCAATAAGTCCATTTCTCTTTTTTGTCCTAGGCTCTCCATTCATAAATCAAGCTCGGAAGAAGGCTCTGTAGGTCAGTATATTTCATTTTATTTGGTACTCCTATGGAATTCTTAAACAGCTTTTGAGTTTTGCTTGTGCTGGGATGTGAAGAGCTGAGTAAACACAATGTTGGCAGAAGTCAGCAGCATTTGTGTGTGTGTGTGTGTGGAGAGTGAGCCTCAGCAGCTTTAAGTTAAATGCTGGGTGTCTCAGTGATCACTGAAATTGCCCAACCAGCATTGTCATGTGATAAATATGCATCTTTTGACTTGTTATATTGAATTTCAAATGTTTGCTTGTTAGATCACTGCTAGCCTGTTTATTTGTATTCTGAAAACTACCACCACCAGTGAATAACTGGGGTTTTTGTTATTTTTGTTCATGTCATGCCAGAGTCTCTTCCTTTGTTTCTGAAATATTTTGCTCATTGGAGAGGAAAAATCAAACTGGGCGGTTTTTCTTGTTTGTTTCTTTTTAATGGTGTTCTAGGGATATGTCCACACAGTCTAAACTTAACCAGTATTTCAGAGTCAGCAAACCCAGCTCTAGATCATCCAGGGTGAAATCTTAAATATGATAGTCAAATGCTGAAACTCAATGGCACAGTATAAAATGCATTCCTTTGAATTTTTTCAAAAGCAGAGGGATGAAATTGCTCTTTGTCAGTAGCATTTCTGCCAGATCAGGCGCTCTATGTTCACTTGCAAGTGGCATAAACTTTATAGCATGGGCCCTGGTTAATTCAATGGAACACAGTTATATATGCCCTACCTTGGGCAAGATGCCATTTTTCTTTTTAGAGCAAATGATTATTTCTGGGTCATCAATCCATATGCAGATCTGATATTAGCGGACATGGAGACCCAGCTCTGTACAGTCCAGGCATATGGAGAGCAAGAGTCAAATGTAGCTGATAGTCTTATAAAATTTCTCATGCCAAATAGCAGAATGTGTGTGTGCACACATATGATTGTCTACGTTTGTATTTAAGTAAAGTATTTCTTTTCTCTATAGCTATGCACACACATACTAGAAAACTGCTTAAGTTCTGGCTTAGGCTGCATACTTGTGATTCAGTTGAAGAGAATGGACCAACAAAACACTTTCAGACTTGACATTAGTAACTCAACAGCCATCAAAATGAATGTAAAATATTTTCTGTTTATAATTCAAAATATGTAAGTTACTTGCTTATCTCAGTCCTCTATAGCATTGGCAATTATAAAAGAATGTACATTTCCCTGAAATAGCTATATCAGCATAGTTCTAGCACAGAATAAATCAAGACAGCCAGAAAATCTGAGATTTTTTTATTCTTGTTTCTGATTTAAAAATACAACTTAATGCTTGAAAGCTTCTCTATCCTTTACTAACTAATGTTTCTTTCCAAAATTCTTCTTCCCTTTCCCCTCAACTTCCCTCCCCACTTTCCTTTTAGGGAAAGCAGACTGGAAAAAGAAAAATAAGTTTTTTTGGCAGAATTTCCGAAAGAACCAGAAAGGACTAATGAGGCAGACTTCGAAAGGTAAAGTTTTTTCAAGGGCACACATCCTATCCATATAAAATATAAAGGGCCAGCATCACAAAGGAGTAAAATGCATTTGTAATGTGACACTTGGGGGTCTGGGGCTCTGGAAGTGTCACAGGTTTGGTTTGTCGTGACAGTGCTCAGAATGACAAGTCATATTCTTGAAACTGTAGACCTGAGGCTGGGTTGCCTTTAGCCCTGACTCTCAGTGTTGGCACACACAGAGTGAAAGTGCCTCTGGTGACTAGTGCAAATATAGGATTCTACTTAAACTGTCAGGTGTCTTTCTCTAGTTCTTCTCCAAAAGATGCAGCTGTGCATTGCATTAAGTATTTCTGTTCACACAGAAAATTTCTGTTTACCCACATCTATCTGTGAGATTCTTATGTTGCAAACAGATGCTTCTCCATATCTCTGTGCTCAGATGGATTGTGAAACATGACAAAGGCCCAGAAGGGTCACACTTTGAGTTAAATGTGGGTTCTTGCTGGTTCTAAAGGCGAGTTTTAATTGTCTGTGCTGACATGCCAAGCACACCCCAAAAGGAGGGGTCCTGTAGTTGGGAGCCCCAGTACATCCCATGTACCAGCTTAGTGGCCGATTGGATAACCTGGATAGATCAGAAGACATGGCCAGTCCACAGCAGGGAGCTGCAAGGGCCCGGTATGCCATTCCTGAAAAGGCTCCTTTCTGCTCTGGCAGCTGATTACAGTGTTCCTCAGGGCTGAGTGCAAGACTTTTCTGACATAAGCACTTTCTCTTTTGATTCTTGTCTTTCAGGGTCAATAACCATGTGATGACGGTCACCTTTTATTTCTCTTTGTTGTGCTCGCTTGCTTTCAATGTCAAAGTAGAATTAGGTTTTTTTTTAGTCCCAAGTTACTTCCTTTTATTGCTCAGTTACGTCGAAATCATTCCATTCTTTGAAATCATGCTAGAAGCCTTCTCTGGTGAGGCTCTGTTTCTGGCCAGCCAGATAGATCCACATGGCAACTAGATTTCAGTGCAGTGGGTAAAATCCAGCTTCAGTGTACCTGCTCTGTGTGTGAACTCCTACACGTGCTCAGTATATTTGTGCTTTTTCCTGCAGGAGAGGATGTAGGGTATGTGGCCAGTGAGATCACGATGAGTGATGAGGAACGGATCCAACTGATGATGATGGTCAAAGAGAAGATGATCACCATCGAGGAAGCACTTGCTAGGGTATGATATGTATATACTTGAATCTCCTGGAGAAACTTGCTTTAGGATGTAGGATATATCAAAATGGAGTTTTACTTTGCTCAGAAAACATAGGAGAAGGTGAAGAAAGCCTGCCTATTTGCCCCATTGTGTAGGTAGCATAAATTAGATAGCAATTCCTTTGTTTATTGGGAAAAAATAGATATCTAATGCATGGTTAATTAATAGAGTCCTAAAAGCATTTGCTTCTCTCCGTTGACAATGAAGGATGCTAATCAGAGAAAAGTTCAAATGTAGACATTTTCATTGCAGCTGTTTAAAGTAAGGGAGAAGTATCTCACTTATAGTCTTGATTTATCAAGTATGTTCATAGGTTTGTGTAAGTACTAATAGGAATACTTCAGGTTTTGCTGAGTTTCAGTGCAGCTTCTGAATTTGTACCCTTGTGTAAAAATACTGTGATGGAAACCAGGATATTCCTTATGGTTTACGTTAGAGAAAATGTGCTTTAGATCAGTTGGCAGTCAGATAAATATTTTTACTGACATACTACATCTTGAAATAGATAAGCCTAGTATATAAAATTATGTTATTGCCTAAAGAAAATATTGCTTTGCTGGAAATCATATAATGAAAAAATGCAAAATTTTTAAATTATTGAGTGGTAATATTGAAAATTCTTTTACTTCTCTACTGTTAAAATTTTGTAGGGGGAGGGCTGTACCTATCTGATAGTTTGTATGTGGACTGGTAGTGTTTCCCTCTAGTGGTCTGAGCTACTAGTAACAACTCTTTTTTGTTTTTTTAATACCAGGTCTTGAGGGTCCTTTCAACACTTAGACTCCAGTAGGATTGGTTTCATGTCTGAAGCCTTTTATTGGGGAACAGGGAAGATGAGGGGAGGTTTTGGTTTTAGATTATAAAGGATGGTTCCTAGTCTTTGCTGCAGATAATTTTCTTTAGGAAGGAAATTGGCAGATCATTGTTATTTAGTCTGTCCACTGTAAACTGTGCCTCTGAGATAGGGATGTGTAATTTATGTTTTACCAATGATAGTTCATCAAATTTTAGTATTTACAGAGCATTTCCTTCTGAGAAAAAAAAAAACACACTAATTTTTAAAACTTCTGATTCTAGGACAGTTTATTTTGAATAAGTGAGATGAGCAGTGCAAAAGTTCAGATTTTCCCAGTTCCACAGTGATACAGGGGGAAAAATGAAATTACATTAACTCTTGCTATTTAATGAAGATTGATATCTTCTTGTCACTGGAAAATGTTCTCTCTGTCTTTTCAAATTTCAGCTGAAGGAGTATGAAGCCCAGCACAGGCAATCCAGTAATGTAGATCCTGCAGAATGGCCTGATGGTTCTTACTCAACATTTGATGGCTCTTCCAATTGTAATGTAAGTACCTGTCATTCTGATATAGCTCCCCAGTATCATTTAATATTTAAATTCTTTCACTGAAGCACAGAAATACCTCATTTACCCAGTGATTTTCTTAATAGCAAATATATCATTGACCTGGTGATGCTATGTTCTGTCTGCAGAAAATCTTCAACATGCATTTTAAATCTTCAAAATCAGTTCTCATAGACTTCAACAGTCTTATTGTACAATTTCTCTCTTTTCTTTTTTTCTTTCTTTTTTTTTAATCTGGCTCTTTGTCACTGAGCTTTTGAAGCACAAGGCAAAAATCCCCTTGTTACAAAATGCACAGAGAAGAGTTTTTAGGCTGTTTAGAGGAAAGTTTCACTTTGCTGATTCATGAGTAGAATTTCTCAGGCTATTCTAGCCTGTGCTGATATGTTTTGTATGAGGGTCTGGCTAAGTCCTAGCTACCTGCTGCCTTCAAACACTTCTATCTCTGCATTTGGAAACTCATAGCCCAGAGTTTGCAGCTTTTGCCAAACCCATAAGAAGTAAGGCAGCTTTCCTCCCTTCACTTTTTACTTCTGAGCTGTGTAGCTTCTCTTGTTTTTATGGGCACCAGGCAGTCTTTGTGTCATGCCATACTGAAGTAATTAATTTTTCCTTCCAGAGATCTTCATTTTCACTGAGTATTTTATTCCACTTCATTTCTCTAATTGAAAGTTCGAAGACAAATCTTAGAGAAGAACACATTCAGCTGTCAAATTCAAGCTCCATGTAACCCATATAATTGAATCATAGGCTTTTGAGACCATTGATCGATTTATTTATTTTATTGTCAGTGGAATTTCCTGCTTACTGCAGCAGACAGTTAGCTCCTCCTTCCTGAAAAAAAAAAAGGAATGCTATATCATTTTATGAGTTGTTTAACGTATTTGGTGGTAGAGAAAGATTTTCTTGTTTGTATTCAAAAAAATACACCCATCTTTAGTCTGATTGGAGCAGAAGGGAACTGCTCTTATAAGGATATTGCCTTGTACTATGTTCTGATATATCAAAAATATGCAAAGAATGGAGAAGGAAGGATCCTGACTGTTCTGGACTGATTGTTTAACCAGCTGAAAGATGTCTTGATCTTTTCCTCATTAGTATTTATAGTCTGGACTTTCCCTTCTTAAGGCCTTTGCCCAAAGTACCTATAGCATAAAAACCTCAAAACTCTCATTCACCATGGTCAAATCTCAGAAGGATATTGAATTTCCCTATTAAATCTTCTGATAGTGGTTTACGCTTGTGTTGAAGTTACTGAAAGCTGTTGATGTCTCTGAGGACCAAACATGATTCAGTATTTCTTCCTTAATGGAATGACTTGGCACCTTTTCTATAAAATTATTTTCCTAAGCCATCTTTGCACTTTGAACCAAGAGCTCTGTTGCCTCTCTCTGCTCTTCTGGTAGGATTTGAAACATCTTCCTGTTAACTTCAGTTCAGTCCTTGTAGGTACCTTTCAAGATTTCTGTCCATGCTCCTGGTTTTTGTCGTGGTTTCCTTTACCAGAAGCTGTGAAACTGCTTGCCTTCAAGAGAAAGCAGATCATCTGCAGAAATGAAACTTAATGTTAGAGCAAAATTCAGCTTGACTTCTTTTTTTGTGGACAAGAATGAAAGTAGGGTTAACTGGAGTGAAAGACTTTGGGCTATAACTGACACACAAGAGGGAAAAACAAATGAAAGTATCAGATATGTCTAGAAATAGAGTGTGTGTTCACCCAGACTTTTTTGCCTAAGGACGTCTCCATTAATCTGAAATGACTCGCTTTTGAGACAAGCAAAGATGATTCTGTTTTCAAGCCCTTTCTTTGCCAAATGGTTTGAGTTTCAGTGCCATTTTTGTGATTTGTACACTGCGAATTTGAAATCTCAGGACTACCCCACTCATTTTATATAGGCCATGAAGCAAAGATGGTTTTCCATATATTAAAAGCATGCTGTTAGGTAGCCTGCTCCTTTATAACCTCAAAAGGCATTTGAAAATACAAGTCACTGAAATTAACATTTCTTGTTTGAATTCAAAGTTCTTGGGCAATGGTTCTTCTGTTCCTGTTTGCTTTTTTTTTTTTTAATATAATTTATTTTCTTTTCCGTCTCATGGCCAAATTATTACTAGGCAGCTTTTAATGGAACAATGTGATCATAGTTGATCATTTTGTAAACAAAACAAAACAAAGTCAGAATCTAAGCAATGAGAGAATCAAAAAATGAAGGCAGATTGTCTGGAGTGTTTCAGGGTTTTATGTACTCTTTTGCATTCAAGTCAGCTCTGCCCACAGCATAAAAACAGCCCCCTACAAAATAATGTCTGAAGGGTATATATCATTAGTTTTCCTTTTTAGAAAAAACCACCACTTTTAAAAGAAAACTTTTATAGCTATTATGTGTTTATGACTAACATAACTTTTGTTGATTTAAAGATTTTCATTTTAAAGATTGATTTGAGGACTCTGTTTCCAGGTTCTCCCCTTTTAAATTTCTGTATCAGGAAATGGAAACTTGTGTTTCATGTCCTTAAAACTGAACCCTAATGATGAAACACAAAGGGTTCAGAAGTAAAGGGTCATCATCTTAGTATCCCAAGGGAGGCAGCCTCACGTCATTGCTGTGCTGTTAATTGTGTGTCCTGTTTGTTTGTTCTTAAGAAACAAACAAACAAATAAAGGTCTTGCCAAGTCAGTAGGTGACTTCGTTCTTTGCCACTTTAGAGCAGTTTGTAGCTTTCAGTCTCACTACTGTGGTCCCCTTGTTTCACAACAAAGTATGTGTGTTATTTATTTGCTAATGTGGGAATGCAGTTGAAACTGTTTTTCTTTTTAGTCAGAAGTATCAAAGGTCTAAAATGCCTCATCGTTTTCTTAAAAATTTATTTCTGAATATTTATGTTTCATCTCTGTTGGAATGAAGGCTGTTCACAGTAAAACTAGACAGGCTTTCATTGCCTTGTGCCAAGCGTTGGGACGTAAAGCAGGTGCAGATTGCGAATGGATCCCTTTCTGGATTTTAGATAAGGGCCTATTTGTCCTCAGGAGTCAGAAAGTCCAGGGAAAGAGAGGATTTCAAAATTGTATCACATTCTTTCTTTACACTGAGGTGCCTTTTATGCTTCTTAAAGATAAAAGCGCGTTTGATGACTTTTGGGGGCTGAAATTCTCAGTTCATCTAAAATAGGGCTTCTTCATCCCCAGAATCCTGCTGGTATGGCTCCAGCCCAGCTTGGAGGACCAGCATTAGGAGAAGTCAGTATGAATCCTTTCCTGTGTCCTCTGCTAAAAGGCTGCTAATTATACCCATTGCTATGTTTCATGTGGGAGTGGGGGAAAGGAGAGAAGCAGGAGGGAGGTAGTGACAGAAGTGTGTATCATATGTGTGCTGCCACTGACACAAACCACTAATTAACTTCACTGACAGTTTCTGTAGAAGCAAGTTAAGTGAAGTTGTAATTATCTCTGGACTAAACTGGTTAGTTGGTCTCATCTGGCTTCTGGTTTTTGGTTTTGATCGGCAGATAATGCTCAGCCATCCAGAGCTCATTAGCATGAGCTTCCAGGTAACATAACTGGCCTTCATCTGAAGGGTGCCCTGGTGAGCTGTGCCGTGCTTGTCTGACACCACCCCACCTACTGGACATGCCACAAGCAGCCTCAGGAGAGAGGCCATAAAATTTATGAGTGCAGAGAACAAAACCAACATCTTCATCCAACAACACAGCCCACAGGTGGTCAGTGCTGTTTTAGTGTCCCAACACTTCTTTTCCCAGGACTGTTACACTACCAGTAGGAAACTGGCACCCCATTTGTTTTCTCTGAGGAGAGTGGCAGCAGATGCAGACCTGGAAGTATTCTGTGCACATCGATATCTGCCATGAGGCTGATGCTGGGGAAAATTCCCCCTTACATTGCCTCTGTTTTCCATCTTCTGTCTATCCATTTTTTAACAGATGGTGGTGCATCATATCCACACAGCAACAACTCTAGCTGGACTGAGATGATCATTTGTTGCTCCTGTTCTTACTATTATTTCCTGAAGACTTTTTTTTCTTTTACCTAGTGCTTAAATGGGGCTAAAAGTTGAAAGGATGTGCAGAATTAGGTTTATGTCTGCCTCAGGTGTCAAAGGCAGAGTAACAGATGATAATGGACTTTGAGTTGTAGTCTTTTCAGTCCAAGAGATGCTGAAGCTGTTGAACCAGGATTGTATTACCCATGGTACAAACCTGACTCTGACAAAATACTAAGTCTGATAGAATTATCTCAGACTCACGGTAGTCATTACTGTATTGTTTGGTAAGTGTGAAGAATAAGAAGAAAAGAAATAATTGCAGTATAACTTCTGCAGCACAAATTACCTCAGGAGTAAATCTAAGCATAATTACAACAAATACACATTATTCAGGCTTATACTGTATTTCAGTGGTTTGGTGCTTCGTTTGTTAACATTATGACTGCTCATAATTCAGGACTGTTAAATATAAACAGGAAAAAGCCCTTCTTTTGGTATAGTCAGTTAAATTTGTTAGAACTAAGCTCAAAGTTGATGCATATTGGGAATCAGCATTGAGTATCAATGGAGACTGGGGTATGATGAGGATTGTTTTACTTGAAACAGTAGTGTTTAGTTTGAAGCAATGTGGATATTTTGGGCATTTTGAAAGTCCGGTGTTACCCCTGGTTTTGCTGTTATCCTGGGACTTAACATTTTTCATAAGGCTTCTTTTCCATGAAAGGCTAAAGGGTGGAAGAGGATAGTTTTCTGGTTTTGTTCTTCTTGGAGAGCTTGTTGCCTGCCTCCAGGCCCTGCATATTCTCTCAAGTAACAGAGGGGAGTTGCTGCTGAGCATGGCTGTGAATGAATGCAGAGCTTTCATCTTTGCTCCAAAGAATCTAGTGACCCAATTTCTGTTCAGACTTCCTGAAAGGCACTGATGTGCCTCATTTTATTGGATGGTGTATTTATTACTACTACACAAATTCCTATAATACT